TCTGGTTTGCATTGGAAAACTTTCTGATGCCACTGTGATCCAATTCAGCATGTTTATTTCCCCTGCATTTAGCAAACAAAGTTTAAAAGAAGAAGAAGAAGAAATGAAACTGCCAAGCTTGCCCAATATTTTATTTGCAATCGGCATCCATTCATTGTTACTAAATGGAGTTGTGAAATTGTCAAAATGGATTATCTTCCGTGGAAAAGTAAAGCACTAGGGAGAGTTGCGAAATTTCTTCTCCCCCACATCACTGGTTCTGTTACCAGCTTTTGGCAGCATCAGCCAAACAGGTAGAGTGGCCAGATGCTAAGGAGATGGCAGGGGGCCGTGCCCCTTTAATAGTCATCTGAACAATAGAATTTGGACAGATGGGACTCACAAAAAGCAACGAGAAATGTTGCATTCAGAGGAAAGGTGCAAAGCACCACTCTCTTTTGCATCTGGTCACCCAATTACAAGGATGCAGATTAGTAGCGCAGGCTGCTTTAGTATTTATTTATTCTTGGCTTACCATAGTGCACTGGAGATTTTGGGAAGCATTCTACAAAATACAGATGTAACACATGGAACAGATGTGTGCCGCACTTAGCTGTGTATACCAGGGACATGCCTAGATGGCTTAAAGCAGCTCAGTCTGGGATTGTAGCTCCGGAAACAAGCAATAAAGACAAGAAACGGTGTGTCTTTTGCCCACACAAAACAAAACCATAAAGCCAACTTCAGGGTGGAAATTAGCAACATGCCAGCTCAATGCCTGAATGCCACTGAACAGAGATTTGTGGAAATTTTGCTTGCCAGTTTCAGAATTGCAGTTAGTTTCCAAGAAACATCTTTGCTTATATCATGCTAGCTGTTGTATGCCTCCCATCCCCCAACTTAAGGATATCTAATGGTGCCAAAAACTTACCATGCTCAGTAGAAAGGTGCAAAAAGTTTCTCCTGGGCCTCACTAACAAAACTGGCGAACATAAAAGAGGATTCTTCTCCTTTTATCAAGCCCTACCACTGAAATATAAATCAGCAGTCAGCAATTAACAAGGTGTAAAATAAACAGCCTGCCACCTGCCTTAACAGTCCCCTTTCCTCCTTTCAAACGAGTCAAGGTCTTGGCGCCGCTTTCCAAATTGGCAATGGATATTATGTATGCATTTATTCCACAGCTGTTCTTCATTGCACCCAACATAACAAGCTTACCTAATATGGTGGGACTTTTTTTTTTCCAGAGCAAACTGTAAAGCACTGAACTTAATGAAATCAGGGATATGAAGTTAGCAAATATGAACTGTGACATCTCCAGCCACATTGCCAGGCTTAAAGGGCCCTTCCCTCTTCGTTTGTTCTGCTTCAGGCGGTTCTAAATTTGTTTCACTGAACTTGGGAGACGGAATAGCTTGGATCCTGAGCAATTCGGCATGCGGGAGCAGGGAGGAATTATTATTATTATTATTCCTGTAACCCCTAACCCCAAGACTGTTCTGGAAAGTTTTTCAATTCTCTGGAGCAGATTAGCAGGTGCACAGAGTGTTGCAGGGGGTGGCAGTGAAAACAGCTTCTCCCACTTCCTCCAGAGGGAGCATCCTGTTGGATTCACTGATGAGAGCTCAAGATCTAGGCCATTAGTTTTAGCAGACCTGATATAGTAGAACCCAACTGCCCATCATCCTCATCCTCATCATCCCACTGTCATCTCCAGCCAGGCAGTTCTTAAAGCAGAATGAAAACCAGCAAAGAATTTTGATAGCAGTGCACACCACAGGTAACAGTGCCTCTATTAAAGTCTCCTTTAGAAACCAAACATTATTGACCACCTCAAGCCTGAAGCTAGATTCTAGATTCTTGAACAAGTAGTAGAAAAGGCATGCCTGTGTTGTTAGACTGCATCACAAGGGTTTGGATTGGATGACCCTCAGAGTCCCTTCCAACTCTACAACTCTATGAGTCTTTTTTAATGCACTTACTAGTGTGCTAATACAGATTATACCCACTTCTTCTTCTTTCCACTCTTTTGTTCTGGTTTTCTTCCATTCAGAAGATATTACAGTGGTACCTCGGGTTAAGAACTTAATTCATTCCGGAGGTCTGTTCTTAACCTGAAACTGTTCTTAACCTGAAGCACCACTTTAGCTAATGGGGCCTCCCGCTGCCACCGCACCACTGGAGCATGATTTCTGTTCTTATCCTGAAGCAAAGTTCTTAACCCGAGGTACTATTTCTGGGTTAGCGGAGTCTGTAACCTGAAGCGTATGTAACCCAAGGTACCACTGTAATAGGCAATGAAAAGCAAAGCTCCCAGTACATTCCTTGACTAAGTGGGAAGCCAGAGGCACAGCAGTCTGGGGCCAACCTTCCCCAACATGGTGTGCCCCGTTGATATTTTGTACTGCAACCAGCTGGGGCTGATGGAAGTTGTGGTCCAAAAGAGCAGAAGGGCCCCAGGTTAGGAAAGGCTGGTCTGAACTGCTATGCCTCTGACTAGCAGGGACCGGGAGAAGACTGGAAGGTAAAAAAAATCACCATTCACTGTCAGAGAGAGATCTATATTTTGGCCCTTTCCTTCCTGAAACAGCCAAGCATGCACTGCCTGCCTCAAAAGGTTTGCAATGCTCGACTGAAGTTCCAGAAAGCAAACAACAAAGAAGAAGGCACCAACTCTAACAATTATTTTCTTTTTCAATATAATCTTTGCTGCTTTATTTCACATGCTTAATAGTTCCTGTAGAATTGTGCATTTCTGCTTCTCTTCTTCCTCTCTCTCTCCCTATATCATTCAAGGGTCAGCAGTCCCTGCTGACTTTCAGCCATAGTCGACAGGCAAGATTAAGAAAAAGTAAGAAATTCTGAGTTGCACAAAAACACAAACCTATGCCTAGTTCTATAATCTAAAGACAAAATACATTCCACTCTTCCTAACTAGCAGGAGCGAGAGCATGCACACCAAGGCAGTTCTGCTGTGGGACAGCTTTGGGCATGATGGGAGGGGAGATTGGCCACAGCTTCCCACACTATGCGCACATGATAGGAAAGGGATGCATTTGCAGCCACAAAGCCCCTATACACGCAACTGCATTGGCCATTTCCCCTGCATCTTTCCTGCATCTTCTGCCCATGAAGAAGGGGTGCAAGCCGTGCCACATCAACTGATGTACCAGCTTCTTTGCACATTAAAGGAATCACAAATATCACACTTATAGAAGAGGTACAAGCAATTTATGCTACTAGCGTGATTTATAAAGTCCTGTATGGCATCTCTTCCTGGTCACTGTTTTGCCCACTTCCTTCACAGCTGACGCTCACCCCAGCAAACTTGATGGCAAAAAGCTGTACACTCTGGCTACTTCATAATCCCAGAATTCAGTTACTTTTGGATCCTAGCAAAAGGCTCTAGCCACCCCTACATCTCCCATTTTCACAGCATAAAACTTACTGGGTGGTATCCAAGCGCCTGGGTGTATATATAGAAATTCAATGTTCATTAGAAAACAAAATACCCTGAGCTTGCAGTTCCAGGAAGTACAGTATACTGTATTATCTCCACGTTCAGCAAGGGATGAGAGTGAAAGAGAAACAAAACAGGTGAAGGTGCAAAGACCTTTCGGTGGTAGGTCAGAGCCTTGAGCAACAGAAAAACTGCCAGTGAATCTTCTTGTTACTGATTGAGGACCTCTATAGAGTGGGTCTTCTGACTGTGTTTTAGAGATCCCAGAGATTCTTCAGAGGTATCAGAGATCCCTCAATGATAACTTCAGTAGCGAAGGACAAACATTCCTGAAATACATCTCACCTACACTACTCCTAACCATCTTGCACTGCACTGCTGTGGCAGAATGGCAGCCTGTGGTAACTGCTTTCCATTGGGACTGGCAGGGCAGAAGGCAGAGAGACAAACCATAGGTAGAGCTTAAGCCAACACCATGCAGTTCCACCAAATGGCTGTAAATATTAAGGCAGACAAGTGGGGGTTGGCTGAGGTGTACACCATTCGCCTAAATGGATCAGCCTCCACTGGTGTCAGGTCTGATCTAGAATGCATTCTCAGTTCTCTCAAGGCGGAAATAAGGTACAATAGGCCAGGACAGTGCTCTGTGTGAACAGAGTTATGTGCCCATATATCCCAGGATACTTGGGCATGTTTGAGGGCTCCTTGTTCACATACAAGTGGCTTACAAAATATGTTTTGTTTTAAGTATGGCTTGGTAATATGTCTGAACCCAGCAGGATTGCACAACCATGTTTTGTTTGGACACCCCACCGTAGAAACTCAACAAGGCAAGAACAGCTGAGAAAATAAACCAAGGTTTGGAAGAAGGAAAGACCCCCACCATGGCTTGTTAGCTTGCCTGTGATATAACTCATGGTTTGTTGAACATGGTTACAAAAAAAATTTTGCTTAGTGTGAGGTGTGAACACAGAAACTCCATTTTTCATGATGGTGGGAAAATTAGAAGATTGAGGAAGAAAGATGAATCACACTTTGCCCCACTTCAACTGATAATTTATAAAATCATTTGAGAGGTTATTTGGCCACTTGAATCACTTAACTGGGTTAAGCTCAAGAGCAAAGATGTCATCATTGTCTTGAACATTGATGAGCGCTAAATTAGAGACTACAACTTCATGAAAATACATATTTGAGTTGCTCAACATATGAGAAAATCTTTGTTAAACAAGAGTTGTATCAATCTCATTAGACAAAAGAACTCCAGGTTCCTACCTGTTGAACTTCCTACATGCTGAACTTTGGCTAAGAAGCAGCCCAACCAAGTAGTGTATCCTTCTGCATAATGTAACAAGAGCTATATGCAAAAGCAAGCATTTCAAGACAATTCCAACTCCAAATAACTGATCACAAGTCAATCGATTTCAAGCAAACATAGCTATTAGTTTTGCCACACAATACACACCAAACAGTCTACCTACCCTGTTCCAGCTCAACAATCTAATCCATAGGAGTATCATCCATTCATAGCAGAAAAATATATTCTGACAATCATTGGAGAATGTCAAGTACAGGAAAACATTTTGCAGTCCCCAAGAACAGTCCAAGGTCACAAAGATCAAGGAACTATCACTTCATCAAAGTGCTAAGAAGTCGAGGAAGTGTGAACCCTCTACAGCTCATTATCAATGGTACTATAGAACTAGCAGAAGGCAAGCTAAAAGTAAATGAAGGTAAGTTGTGGGCTGGCATTGGCAGGGGGACAATCAGCAGATATGGGAATGGTTAGTGCCCTAGGCTAGTGTTACAAGGGAAACAACATGCATGTGTCAAAGACCCTCCAGTTAAAACAACTTATCAAGGATTTTATGTAACACAGGCTCACTCAACCCTGCTGTTTCCCTGAACATACACCAATCACATCTAAGGCAAGAGATCGTTGAGCAGCAAGTCATCGTTGAACACCCTTGAGAACTACAGGTTTGCAACAATCCCAGATCTAGGGGGTAAACGGTGGCATATCCCCCAGGAAGCAAGTTGGGGGTGGCAAACAACATCATGCCCTGAGCCTGGATGGCATAACATGGGAGAGAGCAAAGAGGAGAAAGAGGTGAGAGAGTGAGAAAGAGGAGATGCTGCCCAGGACAGCTGTTGCGGCTGCCAGGCCAGGAGACACCTCAACCCTGAGGAGAAGGCACAGCTTCTCAAGGCATCTCCTGCTGCCACAATGGCTGCTCTCTCCGGCTCTCACAGCTTTGCAGGTCCCAACCATTCACCACCACCACCCATCCTCCAGCAACTTCAAGAACACCGATGCACAGCCAAGGAAAGATGAGGAAGAGACAGGGACAAGCCCACCAAGTGTGCCTGGCTAGGAGTGAGGTTCAAACTGTCTCCCTCTGTCTGGTGCTCCAGAAGGGCAAGGTCAGCTTCTCCCTTTCCCTGGCCAGCTCTGGGTCTGTCTGTGAGCAAGCACCTGGGCCTGTCTTCCTCCTGCCACCTAAAAGGCAGGGAAACATGCACACCTGCCTCTTGCTCAGCTGGGTGGCATATGGGAAGTGTGCCTCCGAGTACATACAAAGCACGCATGCTGCCAGCAATCCGAGCTGGAAAAAAGCTCATCAGACTGTCATGGCCTTGCCCCTTTCCTGACATGAGAATAGTCATTTGTAGAGAGGTTGCTTTCCTTCTTCTTCCTGTGAAAATAACTTACTTGTGAGAATAACTGCTGAATCCAGTAGTTCTTCCAAGGTAACATCAGGCAATAACAGTACAAGCAATTAATAAAATAACAACCTACATTGCTGCATTACAAAGCTATGAGTATACTGTTAGGAGTTTGTTTGTCTGAATAAACAATACCACCATAGTTTATTTGATAAAATTCATAGGTGATCAAAAACTTAAATGTACCAAATGCCCCTTTAGGACTCTAGAGTTGGAATGTAATACCCACCAGAGTTTGAGAGAAAAATAGATAGGCAGGACTGGTGTTTGCATCATGCAGCAGCATCTAGCCCATGTTGCACCACAGCACAACGTCATCTTCCAAACCAACAACTCCAAGTTTCCATTCAGTTCAGCTTCAGAGAAGGATGCTAGAAAGAGTTTTTGCAGTATGAATTTGAGCAGAGACAGAGCAAGAAAGGGCTGTGGGCTAGGAGAAGGTAAAGCACCTTGGGATGCTGTAGCCTTCTATGAATATCTAATGCAGGGTCAGAGGTTATGCTGTCTGCTGCAGGACTTTATTTGCATCACCAAGCTCTGGTTATACGAAAGGAAAGTAGACCCTATCACACTGTTCTAAGTCTTCTCACAGCTCAGAAAGTGGGGAGCACAAAGCCTTACAGCAAAATGCTCCTTGGGTTTACTTGGAAGTGATCTCACTACGCTCAGTGGGACTTATCTCTCAACAAAAACATTTAGGTCTTCAGCTTTAAACAACATTTCCCTTTTTACACCCACTTCAATAAAAAAAATCTTTCAAAACAACATAATTTCTTCAAGACGACTGCACTCCTGACAAAGGATTACAGAATGACATTTAAGTTTGTGAAAACTTCAACAGCTAAGGAAGGAAAAATAACCCATTGGTTTCCAAAGACCGTACACAGCAGTTCCATGTGTGCTCAGTGCCAATTCAATTCCCTCTGTTCACAGCTGTAGAGAATTACTGTCCTTGGGTAAGCAAAGGGGAGTAAATTGTATCTTCATTAGCACTCCAAGTCATAAAAATCATGTTTCAACAGCCGCAAAAGCTCACTGCTTGGATTTCGCCACAGTTCAAGTTGAGGCTGGAGTTTCTGCACATCAGGTCAATAATCCATGTGTTCAAAACCCAGTCACGGAAAATGCATTAATATAAGCTGTGCATTAAGGCACAATTATTTATACACAGAGCAGTAATGGCTTCTATCAACTCTCACGTCAGGGGAAGTGGAAATTCCATTTTTAGACAAACTAGCGCTTTAATAAAAGTAATACAATACTAACAAACTTAACCCATAAGGATGGCAAAGCAGCACATTCATTTTCTGATGCCGATGGAAATCGCATAATATGAAGAATGGCCTAATTCAATAAAATTAGCTAACAACACTATGGGGAAATATGGTCCCAAAGAGTTCCATTTTCAAAGCATGCCTTATTAGTTCTCTGTTGCACATGCAACTTTACACCAGGACCATAAACTACTGCACTGAACTATTAGAAAATCAAAAGGGTATAGGGGCAAGATGGAGATGGCTAAGGAATTTCAACAGGTGCATCTAACCATGCACAGATACAGTATAAAAAAAGGAAAAGAGAAAAGAGAAAAGGAAAAATGAGCAACATCTGCTGAATTCCCTCTTAACACCACCAGTCAAAAGTGCATGACAGGAGTCCTTTGCTCTGATTAGCCAAGTGATGGTTTACTCTTCTTGTTTTCTGGACTGAAGGAAACACTCCAATCCTAAAAGCCAGTGTGGTGTTAGCTGTTAGAGCAAGATCTTCAATGTGGAATGTGGTGCACTTCAGATGTTTTGTTGGACTATAGTTCCCACCAGCCCCCAGCCAACACAGCAAATCGTAAAGGGTGATGGGAGCTGTATTCTGGGAATTAAAATATCAATTCTGCACCTGTGCTTTATTTCATTATTTATTGCCCTTTTTATTTGAGTTGCATCTTGCCCCTCCTCCCCACCCCAAGTAGTCCATATGTATCTATATCTATATCTATCTATCTATCTATCTAGGTAAAGGTAAAGGACCCCTGACAGTTAAGTCCACTCGTGAACAACTCTGGGGTTGTGGCACTCATCTCACTTTACTGGCTGAGGGAGCCGACGTTCCGCGACCTTCCGATCGGCAAGTCCTAGGCTCAGTGGTTTAGACCACAGCGCCACCCGCGTCCCTCTATCTATATTTGAGTTTTGTGTTTTTGCTCATTCAGCTATATTCATTCAATTAATATCTATGCAAGTATGCTCTCTACTTTCCTCAGCCAAATGCTGACACCCCACCACAGGATGACCTAGATGACAAGCTATATTGCATCCACATTCTGCAAGGCCTTTGGGCAAGATACTCTCTGTGAGTCTACCTCCTCACTGCCATGGGGCTCTTATCAGTGGGTCCCTTGCCAGGGTGAAGGCTCTCAGCAGATATCTGACCATGCTGACCCTTGGTGCTGGCACTAACAAGGACTCTCCACATCTCTCCTACCAGGTCTTTCCAGCCTATAACACATGGCTTGGCAGAACTCTTTGAGATTCAGAAGACTTATTCCCAGGGCCACAGGAGCCTGCAGAACAAGGCACCAGCCCTTAAGATGCAAACAGTTCAGTGGAGATGGAGGGGCCAACAGCAAGACTGGTTGAGCCAATCTTCAGAAGGCCTCTGAAACAACAGTTCCACTCTACTCTAGGCAAGGCTCTGACCTGGGCTTGCCTGAATGTGGTTCTACCACATCAGTTGGTAAACGAAGAGGTACTACAACTGTTGACTGCTCTCCTATATCCTGGAGACCAGCTGGGGCAGAACATGGCCATGTTACTGTTTTGTTACACTAACACTAATGTGGAAACAAGTTCCATTAAAATCAATGGAAGTAGCCACCTAGGACTGGAGATGATGCTCTGCATGCTTACATCCAGCCACATCAGTGTATTGGGGCTTTGAAGTCGATGTGGGCCCTCTCTCTGCATCTCACAGGAAGTAGGATAGAAAGTTGAGTAGTTTGTGCCTAAGTGTTTTGCGGGAGCATGACAAATCTTTTGCTATGGTGCACAGCAAGGGGTTTTCTTGGCTTGCTTGTTCCAACTTCTAAAGTAAAAAAGAAAGAAAGATGAGAAATCTTTATTTCCAGACATTTGCCCTAGGTACTGCAAGACCTTTTTATCAATACAATAGCACAACATTAACTAGAGCGACTAGACACAAGGAAATGAATCAAGACCTGGTGGTGCATGCAAGTCTTGAATGTTAATGGGTATGTGTATTACTTACCAACAACATGAATAATGGTTAAGATCTGACCTCAAGGAGGCACTCAGGTTTAATGTGCAGCTAATTTCAGTGCCCATTTTAAAATGTGTTAATTTCACTTGCAAAGCGTGTTTCTTTAGAACAGGCCAGGGCCAGTCAACTTCTGCACTCTTGGGGGCTGCTCGCTCCCAGCAGCGCTCCAGATAATAGAAGCAAATTTTGCAGCACAACCCACCACCTCCTTTCCTATTCAGATGCCAGCTTGTTTTCTTCTGTTTCTTACTGGTCCTTTTCTCTGCTTCTAACAGCAGTCCAATATGCATAAATTTACCCTGTGAAACTTCTCTGACACAAAGAGAAACAGCTGGCAAAAGCTTCCCTGCCTTCATTTCTGCTGTTAGAAGTTGAGAAGTCAGGATCTATAACACAGTCAACACAATCTAGCAGTAAGAGTTCCACAGTTATGGGGCATTACACTGAAAATCCAAGGGGGAAGTGTGGAATCTCTCTCACACTCAACCCCTGAAAACAATCTTCTTTATGAGCAAAACTACTGGCAAGTGTTTTACAGTACTACATCTGCACCAAAATCATTTTGTCAAGGGAAATAAAATTAAGTCGGGGACCAGATGTAGCCCATGGGACTTACTGGCCAACCTTGCTTTAAAAACACTTCATGCGGTGTTTTAAACCGTCACTTGCTTGTCACATTGCTTCAACGTTGAAAAGCTTTCATCAAATTGAGAATGACAGACCACTTACAATCCATATGGAGATCTTTGGATGTCCACTTAGAAGTAAATCCATGCAAATATAATCCACTGATAGTTCATCAAGGCTGCAATCCTATTCACACTTATATAAGTGTATAGGATTGCACTCTTAATGCAATACCACACATAATCAAAATGAATCTGATTCTAATGAATCTGCAATTAAGTAATGCAACAGACCAACATAGGAGGAGCTACGGTTAGGTTTTTTATGCCTTTCTTTACTCTCTTGTCCCTATCCCCCTGGTAATTTTAGTGAACTACTGAACATCAGTAGTACCCACACATATTTCTCATTTAACTTCTCTTATTTTCCCCCTGGTTTGTTCCTAATGCACACTTCATGCTGAGATAAGCATTGCAGCTATCCCATGAATAAGGGATTACTGGAGAATCTGCATTTTGAAAGAGACGCATTGTGCCTAACTCCTTCTGCTCAGGATGACAAAAACAGCTATTGGACCCTGGAACTTTACGTGCTATCACTTTAATGCTGGCTCTCCTTCGATTTCTTGAAAGATTATTGGCTTTGCCAATAATAAATGAATCTGATCCAACAGCAAGCCACTGTCCAAGCACAAAGCGATGGTGCATGATAGCCACAAACATGGGGGGACAACACCACCCTGATCAATGACCACATAGCATTACTGATTCTTAGGGGGAATGCAGCAATCTGCGTATGATCCAATTTGAGAACCACTCCATCTTTATTTCTAATGTGCAACACCAGCTTCAGGAAGTCATATATCACCAAAAGAGAGGAAATGCATTCCCAAAAGAGACAAGATGGCACAATTTGCTTAAAATGTGCAGACTAATGACTATGCATAGATGCAAATTTAGAGGGGGGGAAACTACATAGAGAAACAACACATCTCACCAGGTGACCTGTGCTGTCCAGGTGCTAACCACTGCTGGGCAATTTCAATGGCCCCCTTGCTCTCCTTTCTTAAGGTTCTTAATCTTTAAATGGAACTTGGACCAAACAGCCCTTCAAACACAAGAACTGTCTCAGTAATGTAGGACAAACAATCACCCTAGTTTCAATCCAACTTCAGTAAGTTTTAAAAGGTCCATGATGCACAGTCAGTGTCCAACTTCATCAATGTCCAACTTAAAATAACAAACTTAGAGATGTAAAGACCCAGAAAGAAAGGGGGGAAGGGGGGGAGGTGAGACACATTTTTCCTGGTTATTTGCAGGCCTTTCATTTATTTAAAGCATTTCTACCCTGCCCCTTCAGACTTGCGCCCAGAGCTGCTTACAAACAATCTAAAATATATCACTCAGAAAGGGAAAGGGATAGAAAGGGAGGTATCAAGCAAGCTCATATACCAATTCTTAAAGTTACAGTTCTTATGAGGACCAGCTGGGGAAAAAACAGTTCAGGTGGCCTGAAGGAATGGCTGCTGCTGCTGCTGCTGCTAAGTGACCGTTGAAGGAAGGCCAAAGGCAGCTGGTCTCTCAGCAAAATATTGGCTTCTCTCCCTCTGATCTACAGCCTCCGCAAACTACATAGATTATGTTTACTTGATTGCCTCCCACTACACACACACACAGAGAGAAAAGAAATAAATCAAAGGCGGAAGAAATGAATGAAAGAACTTGGAATGAGTCAGGGCCTTTCCCTATCCATATCACCACTGGATTAAAAGCGACAAGATGAGCAGTTAAGGTAGGAGGCTGGTTATTCACAGGAACGCCAGAATTACCCAAGAGTAAATCGCAGTAACAGCAACGAATGATCATGTAGCAAAAAAATAAAATAAAAGATGGCACCATTCACACCCAAAGTTGCAGAAATACAAAAAATCCTAAAAATGTGTGTGGTGGGAGGAGGACATAAGCAGACATGCACCAATGGGAAATGAGCATGTTCAGGGGCCAGAGAACACAGAGTGGGGGGTTTTTTTTGGGGGGGGAGAAAACTGGGTGGGCTGGAATAGAGTATTCTGGGGAGAATGACTGTCTGAATACTCCATTCCAACCCACCACATTTTCTTTCCCCCAAAAGACACTCCGTGTTCTCTGGCCACTAAGCATGCTCAGTCCACACTAGGGCATGTCCTCTCCCTCTCCTCACACTTTTAGGGTTTTTTTAATTGTACTTCTGCAACTCTTAGAGTTCCCCAAAACCTGCCAATGTATTTTGGTGCGGATTATGCCATTTTTGGCTACATAGTTATTAGAAGTGAAAGGAGGAGTTTGTATATAAAGGATTGTCACAGTCTTACTTGTTTGTTTTCCTCTGTACCAAGGATGGGGCATCTGCGGCCCTCCAGATGTTGCTGGATTATAACTCCTATCATTCCTGGCTGGGGCTGATGGGGGATGGAATCCCACAACATCTGGAGAGCCACAAGTGCCCCATGCCTGACCTATACCCAAATCTGCCAACTGAGGATAACTTGTTATGCATCAAGCTTGCCCACCAAAGCTTACGTCACCCATAATAAATTTATTGAGTCTTTTAAGGTGCCACAAGACTTGTTTTTGTTGTGATAGACAAGCTGTAAGAAAATAAGAACAACGCTGGTGAAACAGTGCAAAGTCCTGTCCAGCCTCCTGTTTTCTACAGAGGCCAAATGGAGGACCCAGGAAATTATGTTCACAGTAATGCGAAAGGGAACATGGTCAGCACATACTTTGATTCCCCAAGCATCACCAGTATATATTCATATCCACTGTATAGCAGGCTGGGCTCGGCTGGGCAAAGCAATGGGATACAAAGTCTTATGTGAAAAATCACCCACTCCCCAAAGTACAGCCCTTCACACAAACAATCTCATCCTTGTGACGAGGTGATGTTGAAAGACTCTTTCCTCCTCCTGCTAAATGAATAACCTGCAGTGCACTTTGGGTGGGGGAGGAATATACAGATCTTGCCCCCCCCCCATTAGCTGTAAAAGTTATAGCTTAAGCAAGCTAGCCTAAGGTGAAAGACCTTGACTCTTGCCCCTCACCCCATCCAATACAATTCCCATAAGCCTCCATAGTGTCTTCCTGGTGGTAGTGCAGGAGTAGCTAACATGTGGCCTTCCAGATGTTGCTGAACTACAGCTCCCATCATCCCCAAATAGAGGCCATGCTAGCTAGGGTTGAGAGGAGTTGGAGTCCAGCAATGTCTGGAGAGCAACAGGTTAGCTACTGTTGCTATAAGGGATAGTTCCCTCAGGGCCGGCCCAACCAAGAGGCAAGGTGAGACAACTGCCTCAGGTGGCAGAATCCTCTTGGACAGCAGATCCCGGTGTTGAACTTCCTTTCCCCACCTTGCTCCTGATGTAGATCTTTCCTCACCCCATCTTCCCTGGCAGGGAGGAAGGCGTCAATTTAGGGTCTGCCTCAGATGCCAGAATGTATTGCTTTCCCTTGGTCTACTTCTCCCAGTAAGACTTAATCTTCCAAGGACACAATTCAATTTTCCCACCAAAAACCTCAACCACCACCTTCCCTTTCGTCTCAGGAAATGGCACATCTCTCAAAGAAAGTCTGTAGTAAGAAAGCGATAGAACCCAATCTTCCAAGTGTTTGCTCAAAAGTAAGTTGCAGGGAGTTCAAGGAAACTTACTCTGAAGTAAACATCTACATGACCCACAGCGTTGGATAAATATTTGCAGAATGAGGACCAATAATAACAATCCCACTCGATTCAAATGCCAAGCATACTCAGAGACACAACTGGGAGAGATCAAGAAATCTGATAGCATCTCTCTTGGTCTTTTGCCTGAAGACATAGCAATAGCTTGTGGAAGGACACAGAGCCTTACAGCTTGCAAACTCTGGTATCCTATTCATTTGCTCTTCTGCCTCAAACTCCCCACCCCCATGATTTATAACTCATTCCCCAAATAAAATGTTGCCATTGGATACAATCCTGCAAACACCACATGCTAATCCCCCTGAAGCGGGAACAGTTTGTTCTTAAATACAGTTGTGAATAAATCTCACCCTTTTAAAGGAGACTCTAAAATTTAATTCGGCACCAGTGGCAGGAGAGAAGCCAAAGTTACTCTAGAAAAGTCAAACAGACCACACCCATTCACCTCAGCCAAACAGAGGACTGCATAAAAAGTTGTACTAGGCCCACACTTCTCAAACCATAGTGTAGAGAAGCCCCATTATTAACTCCAACTGCATTCACATTTATTTCTCCTTCAGAGGAAGAAATCCCACTGTAAAATATGCATGAAATGTTGCCGCCCGCCCCCCAAAAAATCTGCGCTGTGGCAAATAGTCCTCCTTTCAGGAGGTTTTCCAAGGAGACCCCAGCTCACCTCTCCACTCACCCATCAAGGGGCGACCTTGAGTCAGTCAACATTTCTCAGCCCCAAATCTCCCTCGCGGGACTGTTTTGAAAATAAGAGCTGCATACGCCACCCCACCCTGAGCTCCTTGGAGAAGGGTGGCACACAAAATACAAATAAAAATAGTAAATAGTAACCTGTAATTGTTTACTCCGGAGGATGAGGTCCCGCTCAATTCCATGGGTTCACCCGCCAATAAGTGTGCATGGGACTGAGGGCATACCAGGATGTGGCTCTACCGACCACCATATACCACTACCTAGAAATGCCGGAGGGGGAGCGAAGGGGGGGGATTATGGCATGCAACCTAAACGTTGATATGGTTTGCTCAGGCTGCAAAGCCTACGCACTTTCAAAGGGAAGTAAACCTATCACTGTCACCCGTGATCTGGAATTTACTTCAGAGTCAACGTGCACTGGATCGGGCTACCGATGTGCGAAGAACTGGGGCGCGAGACGCACAGAGAGGTTTGTTTTCCAGCGGGAAAAAAAACAGGACTGTTGTAGGTCCCGCCTCCCAAAGGTTTGGAGAGCGGCTACTCCCCGCATATTATTTTTATAATATATATATAGGGCAAGTTTTCGCGTGACACTAGCGACCCACGGATCCATCAAGTTAATAACCGAGAGGAAGGAGAAAGATGCCCGAAAGAGAGCGAGCGCCGGGGCATCAGCATTAGGGAAAGTCTGGCTGGATTGAATGTCCAAGAGCGGTTGTTGCTATTTCTCCTAGGCTCTCCAAAATGAAGGGATTTTTAAATATATAAACGAAAACTCCTTTCTGGCAGCGTGTTTCCATTTAAAGTTCTCTCTCGTGCTTTCAGTAGAAACATCACCGAGATTGCGATCACCATTTGGAAATAGCCATCTAGGCATTTTCTCCCAAGCACATACTGCAAATCCCCACTAACTTGAGTGGGTTTTGGCAGCGCAAAATAAATCGCCACAAGTAGCATAACACCAGAGCAGCTGTGTTCCTCTGCAAGGCATCAGCAGACTGATTTAGATTTGGAGCCGAGGGAAACACCGTTTTCCTCTCCCCACCTTATCTTTTCCCGTTTTATAGCTCCCATCAGCAAGGAAAAACTTGACGGGGCTGAACTACTGCAACACCACCAGTTGCACTTTTCCAGCCAACAGCACAACTCAATGTACGGAAGACAGAAAAATCAGCCTTCTTTTTCTAAAACTCTCGCTTGGAGAAAGAAATAAAAAAACTCTAGCAACAAGTGCCTGCAGAACAGCGCGAAAAGAAACACGAATGCAAAGGAGTACCTGACGCTCCGCCGCCGCTTGCTCCAATGAAGCTGCGAGCTCAAGCTGCTCCCGCTGCCCAGACTCAGCGCTCTGCAATCCGAACGCCCCAGCTGCCACTCAGCGCGCACGAGAAACGCGAAAGCCCTTGCCGAACGCAACTTTCTTGAGCCAACCGCGACGCCGTACCGCTCGGACCGTACCATTCCGCACCCTCGGAGAGGGGCCAGGTTAAGAATAGAGCGAAAAAGAAGAGGGCGCTGATCTGCGCGGAAATCTCCCGCGATTGTCTCTTAACGTGCTCACTGTAGCGTACTGCTGCGGAAGTGTGAAAACAGTTCTCCCCCCCATTGCGTGGATTAGTAGCGTCCGGCGAGGAGGGGGCGTGGCGATTTGCAAAGCTGGTAACGGCGGCAACGGTGCGCGCGGGACGCGGCGAGTGTCCGTTAGGTAGGTCAGTTGGTCCGCCGAGCCGCCTGCTTTAGTTCGGGTTTCCCCTTGTCGCCTTTTCCCCGTCCTCCCCCCTCTTCAGAAACGCTCGTAGTAAGAGAAGGAAAGGTATCTCGTAGCAGTCGTGACTTTCCTGCTCTTTCACCGCCGCCGCTGCTACGGTTAACATAACGGTAATGCTAATTCTGAAGGAGAAAAGAGTGAGAAGCGGGATTAAATCGCTTCCGAAGGCTCAGACCGGTTTCTGTGAACGCGGGCGGTTTCTCCTCTGCCCCTTCCTCCAGTTTCTGTAGCACCATATTTACATCTTGCTCGGGGCCACCGCTCCCGGCCAGGCACTCTGATGTGGGCAAGGACGGAAGCCACGCGCCCCTCTTTATACAGCTTTAAAGTATTGCCGAAATCTGGGGCGGGCGAGGGCTTGGCCATGTATACTTGGAGAGTCAAGGAGAACAAGAGGATGACGAGTTGATTTCAAGCAAGAGGCTCGTGGTGCCTTGAACACTTAACACATTTATTGTGACATATTGAGTTCGCCGTTTGGAGCCACCATTCATTCTTTACCTTTAGTTCGCTAAAGTTTATGCCACAAGTTATATGGTTGTCTTTCTGGTGCCACAAGAGTCCTACTTGCGTTTGTTGTGACATTCCAAACAAAGTTCTTCCTCTGAATCTCATTGCTTGCTGTGAGACTCGCACCCAAGTGTCCGTGCATAGGATTGCAGCTTGAGTTGCAGTATTTCATCTTCACGATAATCCCATGAGGCAAGTTGGCACTTGGCTGAGAGGCTGATTTGGCTGGTGGCCACCCAGCAAGCTCCTTGGTTCCTCCAGCATCCAAACTCAGCACTCTAGCATAGGTGGGGCCCATGGACATAGCCAGGATGTTTGTTAAGGGGGGGAGGTCTTTTGTTGGGGGGACAGAACCTCAGTTTGCTATGTATTTTTATTGAATTTTATTGATTTGGGAAGGGCAGCTGCCCCTCCCTGCCCCCCCCGGCTATGCCCATGGAGGGACCCAGTCATGCATGCTACCTGACTCAAACCAAGGGGTGGATAAGGAGCGCCTCTAATATTTATTTTGCATTGTAAAAAGCAGTTAACTGCAGTAGAAATATATATACATATATATATATAAAAAGTCCAGTAGTACCTTAGATACCAACTAAATTTGTTCTTGGGGACGCGGGTGGCGCTGTGGTCTAAACCACTGAGTCTTGGGCTTGCCAGTCGGAAGGTTGGCTGTTTGAATCCCCGTGACGGGGTGAGCTCCCGTTGCTCAGTCCCAGCTCCTGCTAACCTAGCAGTTTGAAAGCACGCCAAAAAGTGCAAGTAGATAAATAGGTACTGCTCCGGCAGGAAGGTAAACGGCATTTCCGTGCGCTGCTCTGGTTTCGCCAGAAGTGGCTTAGTCATGCTGGCCACATGACCTGGAAAAACTGTCTGTGGACAAACACTGGCTCCCTCGGCCAGTAAAGTGAGATGAGCGCCACAATCCCAGAGTCGTTCGCGACTGGACTTAACTGTCAGGGGTCCTTTACCTTTAAATTTGTTCTTGATATAAGCTTTCATGTGCATGCACACTTCTGCAGTTAACTGCAGTTTAATCTTTATTCACCTTTTTGCTTGGAGGTAAATGGGTCTTAAATTATTGGAATAATGCTCTTCAGTTTAAAGGCAAAAGAGAACTGGTGGAGCTATCAAATTATTAGTTTATTGAAAAATAATTACTATTAATGGCAATCAGTAACTTTCAGTTATCAGTAATGGTTATTGTGCTTCAATAAAACTTAAAAATATTAATTCATAGCCAGCCCAGATTAAGCTAGACTCAGTGAAATTCCTATCAAAATTGCTGTCTTATACAAAGGTGAAATGAAAACATATACTTAGGTCAAAGCGCTGACAACGTTTTGAAGAAAGGATATCGGTTTTGCCAACCAGCATCTATAGCCAGTGTTGGTTTTCTTCAAAACCATTAAGGTTCTTGGAATTAAATACATTCAAGTCATACATTAAATAACTTTATATGTTATGAGACTTCAGATAAGTGTGCATAGGACTGCAGCCTTAGCACATGTAAGAGCACATATTTAGAATTATACTAAGATTTGTGTTGAATACACACTTTGTCCCGATTGCATAGGGCTCTCAGGAGTCCGCTTCAGATGTCCAGACTAAGCATGCAAGAACAAAAAGTGTATAAGGAGCCTGGGGCATGCGTGCTGGTGCTGCCCCACAACATCCCCAGCTCGTTGGTTCAAACCCCAGCCTTCCCACACTGAGCAGGAAGAAAAATCTTTTAAAGCCCCTTCAGGAAGCTCAACACCAGAAGGTTAAGAAGTAGAGCCTGCTTGTGTGGGGACAATGTGGGTGGGGCCAGTGTGCATGCCTCTGCTCTGTACACGCTTTTTGCCCTGACCAGTTCAGGCTGAACACCAGAAAGAGGGCTCCAGTGCTCCTACTTTCAGACACTGACCAGGTCCACACCCACTTACCTTTGCCTTTGGAACTAATGCAATTTAAATGCCTTGGTTAGACTGCTTGGTATTAGTTTTAGATACGTCAAATCATGCGCTTACTGTTTAAATTTCCTGTTTTTAATGTTTCCCTAGGTGTAAAATGATCATACCAGTGAGATGCTTCACTTGCGGCAAAATCGTTGGAAACAAATGGGAGGCATATCTTGGTCTTCTGCAAGCTGAGTATACAGAAGGGTAAGGACTCTGCTTCACACTCTTGTGTTTTCACAACTGTTTTGAGAAAAGTATCTATTAACATTTTGTAGTAGTCTAGGGATCATTCACAAAAAGGTATGTATAACACTCTTTATCCTGTGCTCATGTTTTATGAAGTGTAGGTCCAATTTTTATAAATAATAATTTCATCAGTATAGAACCATATTAATAATGAAAGCATAAACTCAGGGATATTTTAAAGTGCAATCCTAGTCCTGTCTACTCAAAACTTAGTCCAATGAATTCAGTGGAACTAACTCCAAGGGTAGTGGACTTAGAATTGCAGCCTAAGCAAGTTACCTACAAATAATTGAGATTGCCTGATTTTCTTGAGGGGGCTTTTGAGAGTTCTATGGGGGAAATGTAGCTACAGTACTGAGGAGCTAACATTGGAGACATTTTAAACCCCCCTTTGCTTTGCTTTGCTTTTTCTCAGATATGGCTCAGTGTAGAAGGTTGTACAGTGGTGCCTCGCAAGACGAAATTAATTTGTTCTGCGAGTTTTGTCGTCTTGCGATTTTTTTCGTCTTGCGAAGCACGGTGTCGGGAAAGTTTTGGGAAAGCTTCAAAAATCACCAAAGTCTTTAAAAACCTCAAAAAAGGCTACCACACCACGTTCTATGAGTTGCTCCTCAAAGTCAAGTCGCAACTGTATTAACGGTGTTAAGAAAAGGAAACAAACTTGCAAGACGTTTCCGTCTTGCAAAGCAAGCCCATAGGGAAAATCGTCTTGCGAAGCAGCTCAAAAAACAAAAAAACCTTTCGTCTAGCGAGTTTTTTGTCTTGCGAGGCATTCGTCTTGCGAGGTACCACTGTACTCTGATTAAAAGAATCCCTTGCTGCACTTGAAATGAATTATGAAAATTGGAAAAACTTCCATAAACATGCTTGATTTGCATATTTAAGTTGGATTGTATAAACTTGAATTTCCTTTGCCTAACTACACTGCTTCCCCGAAAGTAAGACATCCCCCGAAAATAAGACCTACTTCCAGTTTTGCCTCTTGCTGTAATATAAGGCCTCCCCCGAATATAAGGCCTCCCCAATAATAAGGCCACCCCGGAATATAAGGCCCCCAAAGCTACTGTAAGGCTTTGTACCATATGCAGGTAATAAATTTCCTTTTTTTTTTCAACAGTAAATGTGTACTGTGTTCTTCTTCATGGAAAAATAAGACATTCCCTGAAAATAAGACCTAGCGCATCTTTGGGAGCAAAAATTAATATAAGACACTGTCTTATTTTCGGGGAAACAGAAATTCAAGTGAAAGTTCTTAGGCTGATTTAGAAAAAATCATTTGGTTGACCTCAGTCTTACATTGCTGAACTTTAAGTGAAAGCACTTTCCCACATATAAAACTTACTGACAAAGTGAGAAGTGAATGTCGAACACAATTGGAGCATTTCAAATATAAAACTTACTGACAAAGTGAGAAGTGAATGTCGAACACAATTGGAGCATTTCAATCTCTCCCACACAGGTAGAGCTGCAAGAACTGACACTATTTCAGCATTTATATTCAAGCATCCTCTAGTGCTCTGATTAAGCATTACCATCTGACATGGCAAACAAATCAATGAACAGAAGATAGTGTTGCCCATCTTTTGTACAGTGGTGCCTCGGGCTAAGAACTTAATTCGTTCTGGAGGTCCGTTCTTAACCTGAGGTACCACTTTACCTAATGGGGCCTCCCGCTACTGCTGTGCTGCCGTGCTGCGATTTCTGTTCTCATCCTGAAGCAAAGTTCTTAACCCAAGGTACTATTTCTGGGTTAGCAGAGTCTGTAACCTGAAGCGTCTGTAACCTGAGGTACCACTGTATTTCAGTGTAATGTTTTGCACAAACATAACTCTCTTGCATTTCTGTTAACAGTATGGTCCTAGCCTTGCTTCCATAGTTCCATAGGCTTATTCCCAGGTACATATAGAATTGTAGCCATGGTTCCATTTTTCAGAAAACAATTCTGTTTCTCTTGAGTAGTATGAAATGACAGGCCCCATTGTCTTGCTGAGTCCTCAGAACTCTTGAGAACTTAGAACATCTAAGATCCTATAATTAATTAAAGGCTAATCTTAGAAAGTACCTAAACTTTCTGCTGTCACGCTTCTTTCCCCCCTGTGGTTACAGGAGTTAGACACTTTTAAAAGGAACTGAAATTCTATTTTAGGGCATTTTAAATAGTATCTGGTTTTTTAGAATACCAATTAGCTCTTAAAAGGTGCACAGGTTTTTGTGAGCTGCATGATATGAACACTTGGTTTAAATTTGATGATATGAAAAGATGTTTTGTATACTAGAACGAAGAAGCTTCTTTATTTCTACTGTGTCGCTGATGCTGCTAAAAATAGAGTATAACACATGTAATATGTTATCTGAACAGTGGTTCCAGCTCATTCAGAGCCTTTCTTTCAACATGGTAGTTTCAAATGCATGAATTATATAGAAAAGCATAAGGAACACTTGCTTGATTTTTAAAAATCACAAAGTATCAAGTGCTGTGGCAGATTTCTACCTATTAACCTTGTTTTAAGAGCTCATGTGTTTTAAGAAAAATGCTAGTACATACTTCACTTATGGGTGCTACATAATTCAGCTTCTGAGACCTGTGTAACACTATTTTCCAAATATGAATTAAACATCTAGATAATATAAAATCAGAAACAGATAGAAGGAAAAGATGAAGAAAGGCTTTCTTTCTTGACTAGCTAGTGTCTAGAGAAGTCTCATATATAATTCTTCGTTGTTGCTGCTGTGTCCATCATTTTTCTTACCTTTGCAGCATTGTTTCTGGTTGTAGTTAATCATAGCCATTCTGCTAGCAATTGATTTTCCCTTGCAAATACAGAATTGGAATTTATGGATCTAGAATTTGAGATTAAGTAGTACTTTAGTACAATATTTGCATGATAAATGCACCTGAATTATGCCTTGGGCATAAATCAGATTCTCTTGCAATTTATTGTATGATTTTACATTGACCAAGTGGGTAGACAATACATATTTGAGTTTCTCCCTTGCAGCAAAGCTGTCTGTTAGCTCAGTGCCTACTCACAATTTTGAGGGCAGATCTATATGTCAGATATTATTAAAATCATTTCTTGTAGCAAAAAATGGGTCAGCTAAAGGGAATAATTTACTTGTCTGAGGATGCAGAGATTTTGCAGAATTTGGAAATGCTGTTTTTCTCTTACATTGAGTTTCTTCAGACAGTTATTTAGAATATTGGAGGTGGTAAAAATATTCAAAAATCTATTCAGTTCTGATGATTAGTTTAGCTAAAAATATTCCACATTCAGAGTTTTAAAAACTACACCATGGGTTGATAACAATCAAGGTGTGGGGGCTTATTTTAAGTATTTTGTAGTGCCAAACGTTTCTGCGATTTTGGGAAGGTTAACAGCACAATCTTATGTGTGTCTACTTGGAAGTAAACCCCACTGTTTAGGATTGCAGCCTAAGTGCTAAAAATAAAATAAATATGAAACTGATTGAGCCTCTATTAAAATATTTGACAGGGTGATTTATGTTGTTACCATTATTTGAATAACTTCTGAGGTCATACACTGTACTGAAGATTTTATCCTATGAGGAAATCTAGTGTGTGTGCTGGAGGCCTCTTAAGTTCAAGAGGCACTGTCTTATTATGCTCATCAGCTTTCTGCTTCTATTTTATGACTTCTACCTACTTGATCTGTGAGCATCTCACATCTCAAACTGAATGTTAATTACTCTAGTAGGCCCATAATGGGAATGAGAACTTGGTTTGCCCATACCACCACCCTAGCATAAATCATGAGCAAAATTCTTAAATGGGAAATTTATTACTTTATTACATGTCAAAATGTACATTAATAACACTTGGAAAAACTCAACTTCTTTTTGAATGTGTTGCTACATCAGAGGGTCAACTGCCCAGCCATTGCTAATCTTAGCTCATCAGTCTCCATTGAAAGCCCCAATGGAACAGAAACAAATGCTGACCTAAAAGGTCAGGTTAGACACCAGAGAAGCTGTATCTTTTAAGGTAGAGGATAGATAGCAAAGCCTGAACTTGGAGTTAACTGGCCACTAATAAGAAAGAACCTGTCTAAAACAGTCACCAAACCTACTGTCCCCTCACTGATCATTTATCACATTCATTAGAGCAGCATAGGGAAACCTCTGGCCCACTGGCATACTAATCCTGCCAGACCTCCCCATTTGGCTGGTAAGGTGATGCAGGGGGCACACATTCACCTGTCCATCATGATTGGTGAAGGTACAGAGCCAAATTCCAGAGGTAGAACTGGGAGTGAACTGTAAGTTTCTAGCCAATTCTTCCTTTCCAGCCTCTGCTTCAATTTGGTACTTCTTGAATTTGGCACCTTTGTTGCCCTGCCTAGCTGCAGAAAAAGGACCCCCCCCCCCGTGTGTGTGTGTGTGTGTGTGTGTGTGTGTGTATTTAAAGTGCTTGAGATTAAAATTGGGAGTGATCCCAATTCTTCCTTTGTAGCTGCAAATAATTGTGAGTGTCATATGATGCCAGGTTAAAGATGGCTCCCACTACTAGGCTAGGAGGACCAATAGCCTGACTTAGACTAGCCATGCCTACTTCATGGCCTCTTACCAAACTGCTTTTGTTCCTCCAGTCCTGCTGCTACTGCAGCGTTCAAAATACATGTGTGTAGGAAGACTTTATATTGGACCTACAGAATATGTCAAAATGGACATCTGTTGTTTGAGAGTGCTTCCAAAGCCTTCCGGTGTTTGCTAACTTCTTTGCTGAAGGAGACATTTGGGTATAAGGTGATTCATAAAAAGTAGTAGTAGTAGTAGTAACGACGACAAATAATACTTAGATCGGGGTGGACCATCTGCTGTAATCCTGCTTCCCCTACTATGCATATTCATTCATCCTGGGTTTGTGGTGAAAACAGCACTTATTGTATGGATGGGAGAGAGGGAAGTTAGAAAGGGCTCCTGAAGATTGCTAGAAGCCAGAAGTGTTTGTGATGGGGAGCACAGTGAATCACAAAGCACAGGCATGGTGTAAAAGTAAGCTAATACTAGATGTGTTTTCAGGTAATGGTTTGTTTATATGTCTTTGGGAGAACGAAGCTCCTTCAGGAGCCCAATACCGGCAGAAACGGTGTTCTGTGCATTTGATGCTTTGTTACAAGACTAACATAAACTAGTCCACAGACATACAAGCTTGTGGGTTTCCCGCCTACCCTCCAGTCTTTTTGTTTTCTTGGAACATAAGGGGGGAAAGTCTGTGGCTAGGTAGACCTTAATTAAGAGACAGATGGCTGAGATTTCATCTTAGGGATCCAATAACTGTTCTTAAAGAGAAACTCAAGGCAGGCAGGCTGGCTATGATGGAAGTTGTGTACTTTTCAGGCACACTTTTACATCTGCTTCTTTAATGGGCAAATAATAAAGTTAAGCCTGTCACATTCAGTATTGTTAAAATGTGTTTATAGTCATAATGAATTAAAAAACTAAAAACTAGCAGATTATCAAAGTGAAACTTAGAGAACAGTAACTTGAGTACAGCAGCAGTCTTGTAAATGGCTCTGAGGATAGCATTTTCTAAAATCAAGCCGTATATAAATGTTATGAAATGAAAAATAAATAGCAATCCTATTCGTCTGATCCTTGGGGAGTGGGGGTTCAGCCCCCTACCACAGTCAATCACCTTGCTTCTATGGACTATATTTTAATATTTTTAGAATATTTTGAAATTGTTTTAGTTTTTTAAAAAATGTTTTATTATCACTGTGCCTGCCACCCTATAGTTCCTCTTCTATCTCATGGACAAGGCTTTTCCCTTTATTTGGCTGGGATCAGGTTTCAGCATGCTGCTTTTCTTTCAAACACACCTGCTTTTTGTTTGTTCTTAGTGATGCTTTGGATGCTCTGGGTCTGAAGAGATATTGCTGTCGGCGAATGCTGCTTGCCCACGTGGATCTGATTGAGAAGCTCCTGAATTATGCCCCTCTGGAGAAATAAATAGCAGAAAGGATGTATTATACTACATACATATGGACCAGCGTGCTGCTAGAACTCCTCAAACTAAGCTGCAGGGGGTTACAAATGCAGATCATCATGTCCAATGAAGGATTTCACTCTCTGGGCATGCTATAGGCTCTAGCCACTAACCTCTTGAAAAGAAATTACTGAAAGATGAAATCCACTTACACACAGTTGGGGACTGTAGATTTAATTAAAACAGGGATGGAAGTTCATCAGAATCTCATGGGTTGTGGAGAATTGTGATTTTTAAAAAAACTGTACTTTGTGCTACTGGCAGCAGTTTTAATAAAGGTTGTCGTTATAGCCACATTGTGATTTTGTAAGGATTGTCCATCTCATCCTGTGGTGCTCCTCTTACTCTATCAAGACTCTCATACAAGAAACTAAAGAGAACTGACTGCATGCTAACCTATTTCACTTGTTCACTCCTGGACTTCCTATCATTTTAGGGGTGGGGTGGAAATAACCTCTCTGGTGTTGATCCACACTATTACATTATATGAAGTTATCTTAAAGACGTGAGATCCAGTTGAGTGACAAGTACCATGACTTGTGATATGAAAAAGTAATAAAAATGGAGGATGGATTTTGTTTGCTTAGAAAAGCCAGTCTGCGGGTTTAAAGGGGGGGGGCATTATCCATCAAACTCAATCTCTTGCATTCAGACTGAGGGAACATCTTCTAAGCTACCAGTGTACAGTATATTGCTGGCACAATCTTCTTCCTTCCATTTCTCTCGCATGTCACATTGCAAAACTGGCAGTCCATTTTCCAGAACTGTGGTTTAAGCTCCAGTTAAAGAGGAGGTGAGCAGATTCAGTAATACAGGGCAGGTGAAAGGCCTGTTTTCTTGTCTGTGCAAAATAAAAGGTTTTGCTTCTACCTGTTTTGTATGTTCCATAATCAGTGCAGAGCCAGCTGTTCATTAGGCACATAAAGTTGGAAAATAAATACTTGGATGCTGATCATCTCTTTGACACAGCTGTTAAAACAGAGGAAAAGAACTTTGCTTTCCTTTTATTTAGCAAGATGCAAAGTTTGTAACCTCACCACCATTGCACAAACACTGTAAATTTGAAATCTTGCCTTCATATCAGTGCCAGGCTATCTCCTAAAGCCATTGATAAAGTCTCCTTAGTTTCATTAAAAAAAAATACTACAGTTACAGGAAAGTAGGCCTGCTTTTCCACACGCATCTCAGAATTTACTGGTGCAGATTGTTCTGAGATTTTGCATACCCATTTGTTTTTCATTGTCTTTCATTTAATAATAAAAGCAACCTGCATGCTTGAGAAAGAAAATGCATCTATAAAGCACACTGGAGTCCTAGAAATTAAGAGTCCCGCCAATACAGAAATGTTGATGAAGTCTGGGTAGTGTGTGAATGGGAGACCACCACCCAATCCAATCCCATGTATGCTGCTTACAGTTTTTCTGAAGAACAAAGGTGAGTATAAATATAATAAATAAATAAATGCTGCAGAATAGTCCTCGGGCTTGGTACCCAAAAAGTTTTGACAGAATTTTGCTGTTTCTCCACATGCATGGTTTGGTCCCTAGTAAATAAGTGAATTTTTTGCACATGGGGTTAAGGAGCACTGTAGAGAAGACAAACTGGATATTTATTTAGTTACTGAGATAGCTAGCTGTGCACAGCGTCTTCCTTATAGAGGTCCACTTTTGCCAAGTCTGCTTTAATTGAGTTTTATTAATTTGCTTTCCCTTTTTGGAAACCCCTCCGATCTGGGAACATTATTAAGCTCCTAGCCATTATTATTCTCATCAGTTCTGTGAATCTTTACAAGTTAAGCTTCCTTTTTCATTTATTACTGGGATGCAGGAGATTGCTCTTCTTTTTCCCCCAGCATTCAGCAGTTCCTCATTTAAAAGTGCTCTGTTGTATTTTAAACCACATACTTTATCCTAATGCAAAGGGCATTAAGTGATTAATTCTGGCATTTGTGTTTCACAGTTGGTTGGAGAGCTTATGTTTTGTACGCCTGCCACATTATCTAGGAAAATGCCTGGAAAAACAACATTCTGTTTTAGGCTACATGGTTCTGGAGTGCATAAGTTACCCATCCAAAGTTGTGTCTTTAGGGAACAAGGTTGTGTTAGCTTCTGGGTGCCGGGTCAGATGAAGCAAGAAGCTTTTATATGAGTTTCACCCCTGCATTATCTGACTCTAGCAGATGTGCCGGTTTTATCCTTGATCATTTTACAGCCCAGTTCTATGCCACCACTGAGTAAGAGCTTGAACCTTCCCAAAATGGTTGGTATCATGCCTATGCAGATACACAACACAAGAGGGCACCATTGGTGCAACTGCAAACTATTGTCATGGCTACCAGACCCATTTTGTCCCTAGGCTGATGAGTAGGATTTCGAAGGGTGGGCAAAAGAGATAACAAGCTAATTGCAGTGAGGTGGGAAGCAAGCTGTAGCAATACAGAGGACGAAGGGGGAGAGAAAGAAGAGTCCAGTCATGGAGAAAGGGTGTGGGATTGAATATGAGTATTTGTGAAGGTTGGTTATTGCCATAAGCAATTGGAGGGGGGGAAGAATTCTCTCAACCCAAACCTGGGGAAAACTTTAAAAAGCCATACAACAGAAAGCAAGTACAGTAGTCTGAAAAAGGATCCCTTAGCCTCGTTGGCATGTGCCACGACAAGCTTTCTCTGGAGCTGGGGGAGAGGGGAGACTAAAGCTTAAGGAGTCCTCCTGGCAAGAGATAAAATTTATCAGAGCACATGCAGAAAACAAATCTGCAGAAAACAAAAGGCAGAGAGAGGCTTTTGAAAGTGAGCAGCTGACAACAATAGGTCATCCTCTCCACTGGCATTCAAATCTGTCCTGCAGTCAATAAAACTAAAACAGTTTTATATGGACAGAAGGGAATTGGGCCCCATGTGGCGAAATGGATTTTCCCACCTATGTTTGAGGACTGTAAAATCAACACGTTTAATAGTATGCACTTGAGAAATGAAGTGTGATGGGTCCTTAAATGTTCAGTCACAGTTTCTTTGCTACTGAGATGAGAATTTGACCCTCTTCGTTTTAAATATGTAAATAGGAAGTGAAAAATGCTTCCATTCTGGCAATTAAGCTCTGGAAGTAATTAGCGCAGAGGACGTGCCCTGGTTTCTTTTTAAAGGTACACAAAGATTGTCAGTGGGTATGTGCTGCAGCTGTTTGTTTACCAACTTCTATGTGGTCTATTACTAACACAGTAAAAAATAAATCAGATTAAATCATTTCCCCTCTATAAGAGATTTGTATTTTAGTACTGTATAGGCTTCAATAGGAAGATGCTTATCTTTCATCCAGTGAATGTAGTCCTGTTGTGTTAACCAAAATTTTACCTACCTCTTAAAAGGAGAAACTTAACTGTTCATGTGTATGCAAAGAGGTATGTGTTCATATAACCACTAAAGGCAGGTTCACATCTGTACATCATGCACACTCATTCTAGTCCCTGTAACACATGACCACCAAACTGGTCTTTTTTCTTATTCTACTGCACATACACTCCACAGGGACCCAGGGCTCCCTAGAGCAGATGTTGTTGGTCAGGCCTACAACTTCCACTGTCTTTGATCTTTGGCCATGCTGGCTGGGGATGTTGGGAGCTGGAGTCCAATGACCACAGGTTTGGCATCCCTGTCCTATAGTATGTGCACAGAGAGGGGAGCAAGTACAGCTCTTGCAAGTTTCAGGCAATATGCAGTTTACCAGTGTGCATCCCATTTTCCACGTCAAGCAGCCACAAGAGTATTTTCAGACTAAGGAAATCATGCTCCAGTGCAGAGCATGATAAACATTTTGGCAGTCTATCAGGGGAAGGAGTTCCATAGCTTGGCAAACAGCAAAAGGAAATGCCTCTGAGTGCCTTGACTGAATGGCCTTGGGCAAATCACTCTAGCCTTCTGGTCAGGCCTGCAGGCTTAAAGTGGGAAGGAGGTATGCATGAAAGCCCTGCTGCTCCACATTCACTTCAGACCTCCATGTATTCCTTGAGAAGTTCTGAAGGGATTCATAAATGCATTCAGGTGAATGTGCTTAGACTCCTACCTGGAGTCAGGAAGCCTTCATTATTGGGGTTGCCAGTAACAGGGAGGATTATAAACATGGTCACATGAGCATGCTTAGAATTCTTCTCCAGACCTTCATGCTAAGCATAGGAATGCCTGAAGGGGAGCAGATGAAGCCCATAGTCAACCACAGCAACCATTTTTATCTGAGTGCCATTTCAAGGTGGGGGGGGTTGTTATTGGGACGAGACCAAAATTCCCCATGTGGCCTACCAACACACAGTCGTTGCTTGTCACCATATCCCTTCCCACTTACTGAATTGGGAGAAGGCAAGGAGGGAGAGCAGAGCACAGTAGGGAGAAAAGGAGGCTCCTCACTAGAAGAAAGAGAAAAGCCAAAAAATAAAGAAGGGTTTCCCACTCAAGGTCTCCCACTTAGCTTCTTCAAGGCACATGGTGAGGAGGTGGTAGCAGGGCAGAAATGATTGGGTGGGGAAGCAACCCTCTTCATGGGTTTGATGCAGCCCATGAACTGAGTGTTGCCAATCCCAGCGAGTACAGACGCGTGGAACTATCCGATGAGTTATCTGCAAAAAATTTAGCCCTAGAAAATATTAGAAAACCAGTGCAGACAGTGGAGTGTCTTGCTACAATGTGATCCTTTTTGCCCATCTCCATTTATAACATTTTATTAATGTTCCAACAGCTAAAAAAAAAATAAAATCACTTAAACTTAAGGACCTACAACTTAGGAGTGAGGGTGAGAATGATGGGTTTGGGATGGGGGCAGGAAATTACCTACATACAATGAAGTAGATAATATTTTATCAAACGTATTTTTCCAGCTGCTTGTCAGGCATATTCCACAGTATAAGCTTGTCTTTCCTACCTTCTTTGTTATCTGATCAGCCACACTTTTTTGTGTGAGTGCTGCCTATATAAAAT